GCGGCAAAGGAGACAATGTGGACACCACACAAATCAGGCAACGTCTCGACCCACACAAAACAATGGCCACAGTCACCCTAGAAATAGGCCTGACGTCTTCCTTCGAAGTCGGCGTACAGCTGCCCATGAGGCAGGGAAATGAAAAACGGTTGTACACGCAAAAATCAGGTCCAGGTGAAAGCCAAAAGTCCAAGCGGACGATTACCTGACCTTCCACTGGAATTCACAGCCGGTGTTCGATGAAAAAAAAAAAAAAAAAACTCCTCTTGTGTAGTCTTTGTGCTTCAAAGATATTGTGTTCAATTTTGGTCTCCATATTTTGGTTCACAAGTAAAGGTGTTTCAGATTTCTGGGGTTATTGGTGGAGCTTTTTATTCTCAGACTTTGTGCTACAATTTTAGCAAATTATTAGACACTCAGTGGGGAGAGAATAAAGCCATATGGGGTGAAACTCAAGCCAGTAAAGTTAATCTTAGTGCTGAGTACTGAGATAAGAACTCACATCTCAGCACTCATCACATTCCCATAAGCACTCCATCCTCAACTTCAGCAGCCAGCAAAGAGTTCCTGCGGTACCAGTAGCAGTTTGATTATATGTACATTTTTTTTTCCTCTGAGTATATAGAGTGTCGACCAGATTCCCTGTCACTCCTAGCTGTACCATTCTTCCAGATCAATGTGTGCCTCTGCATTGTTTACTTTCTCCCAAAGGGCCTTGACCACATCTAGCTTGTCATGCATAAATTCACCATTCCGTGGTGCTGAACCAGTCAATCTGTCTGCTTGTTTATTTCCCTACATACCACAGAGAAAATATCCAAAGTACGCTAACTACCAAGGACCTGTGAAGCTTTGATTGCCATTCTGCACAGGGCATCCTTGCCTCCGCCTTTCTTTATATGCTTTGTGAACTGGTTAAAATTATGACGTGTGTGCAGCTGGTTCTCACGCCAGCAGAAAACTGCTGTGACTGCCTCCACCTCCATTTTCAATAGATGTAGTATCATAAGCTAGACTTTGCTGCACTAACCATCAACCATTCACTTTTACAGTGAACCCCTATGTACTTCTTCTGCCTCTCACTAAACAGCCATCCTTATAGATAATCAATCAGTTGTTTAATTTCTGATCTGCAGTGCCCGCTGGTCAATCCCTGCACTCCTGGCCAAGTGTGATTAGAAACCTACACAAATCTGTTTTGTATTCTGACACTTTAACCCATTACTTTCCTCTCCAACTTTTTTCCAGTTAATCTTCGCACTTTTAAACACAATTAGTTGAGTTAAGTTGAGTCAAGAATTGACATTAAAGCAAATTGGACATTCCCATGTGTGCTCCATCCTCATCTTTAGCAACCAGCACACAGAGTTCCAATACTGATGGTACCGGTCACAATCCGTCTTGCCTTTCCTCTGAGTGTAGTGAGTTGGCCAGATCCTCTGGTTACACCAAGGTACCTCATTCTCATAAACACAATTTACTACATCTGATTCCTCAGATAGTAATTTTGAAAACACAACTGAAGCCAACCAGAGAGGGAGAAGTAACAATGAATTTCCCAATCTGTGTAAATTGCCATTAATTACTGGCAGCATGAGAGTTAATAGACTGTTTTGTTTGGAGTATATATAGAGAATGGCAGATAACGGACATATACGGCATGTACTAATGAGTTGAATGGGAGTAGACCTGAGACAGACCAAAAAGATGGTGGAGAGATAACATACAAGTAAACCTTTAAACACTTGGAGTTACCAAATGGAGATAGAAGGCCAATCACAGAGATGAACGGAAGCGAGTGATATCTGCAGCAGTGAACTTCCAGGACTAGGAATGCTGCTATTGAAGAAGAAAAAGAATAAGTAGAAGACAAAGAGGAAGAGGAAGAAGAACAGACAAAAATTATACATTTCTTTGTTATTTATTTATTAATATCTAGAATAAAGCCAACAAGATCAAGTTAGAAAAATATGAAATGTATTTATAAATAAAAGGAACATATTAGTGAAACAATCAATTATTCAGTTGTTGTAACCAGGATGCAGATGAGGAAGATTAACTGCAATAGATCCTAACACTCTGTCTCACCCTGGTTAAACACTCTTTCACCAGCTGTTCATCCATCTATTGATATCATCCTCCCACTTGTATTACCATCTACCTCTTGCTTGCCTATCTTTAACTTTTCCCTCCAGTAAGATTGTTATGAGAGTGTTATGTCTTTCATTATGGTGAAAATATTTTATTTGTCTCTTTTTAACATTTCTCTGAACTCTTTTCATTCCCAGTCTCTCTTTAACATTTCCTTTTAATTCTTTTATTATCCCCCCCCTCCTCCAGTGCTTTATTAACATCCTATCCCAGACGATCAGTCCAACATTTTAAAGGGTGATAAGACTAGGTTTCCCGGCTTTATGATGCTATTAACAACCCCAAAACATATCGAACTGGCCCTAAACCTAACCCACCTACGTCCTATGAATGCATGCAGCCTAGATCCCATGACTGCGTGCAGCTAATCTCACCCCCTGAAATATTAGACTGTCCCGTGACCTGTGGATTAACCCTGTTTGGGGTAGGATATTAATAAAGCACCTTACACCCCCTCCACCCTTCCCATATGAGATCATCATTATCATCATCATCCTTGCCCTGTTGTTCCATCATATGTTACAGAGATCTCACAATCTATTCCTTCACTCTGTTCTTTCTTGTGCAATCAGTTCAATAATATGAAGGGAATCTAGAGCAGCACCTTTCCCACGAGAGATACAATCCATTATTCTGTATAGCCATCTCTGCTTACATATACTAACAACTGGCTTCTCTTTACCTCACTTATTTAATTCTAGACATCTGTATAACATACAAATATATGTAAATCAAGTGCATCTATAATCTCATCATCGCCATCTTGCTAAGTCATTATATACCAGACAGGGCTCGCAGCCTGCTTCTCCATTCTGTTCTATCCTGCACAATCCTTTCAATATCATGGATGGAATCAAGTCCAGCACCTTTCTTTGGTCTTTCTCCATGACATTCATATTATGATTCCTATTGGGCCTCCCTATCTCCTCAATCCATTTGTTTCTGGTTTCAATGCCTGTTTGGTGATTCCATATCTGCTTCTTCTTGCAAAATGCTCAAAATATTGCCATCTTCTTTGTCTTTCAAGCAGTGGTATGCCTTTGAACCAAATAGTGTGTTTAAAAAGCTAAGTGAAAGTTTTCCTGTAAGCCTCAGTCATAGAGGTCAGGGATCAGGTGATGAGTCACTTGATACAGTTTTGTAAGGCTCAGAAAATGTATTCCATTTATTGCTTCCACCTCTTCATCTTTTTTGATTACTCCCTTAATATTTTTATATATATTTTGAGAAAAAATTTTAAAATGTAGATGGATATATTTTAAACAAGTTTATTTGTTACCTGTGTAAAAAGTGATTTTTTTTTCCTCTTCTGGAATATCAATGGGGTAATAATCCATTTCTTTAGTGTTCTTGGGGTGTGAGGGTTAAGTAAACATACTGCTAGATGATGATATCTCAAACATTTCCTCCCTCGTGTGGGTCCTGTTTCCCTATTTTGGGAGGGGGGAAGATGCACTGTCCTTAACAAGCAGGCTATAAAAGGTGACTCACCTTAGATGTTTCCGATTCGTACGTTTTAGACCAATGCTATAGAAGGAAGAATCAATATCAATTAAAACGTCTAATGACAACAAGACATAATGGAACCAAAAGGAACCATATCTGAACCAGTCCTACAAAAAAAATATCGCAAATATAGACATCAGCCATGATGAGCTGAAAAGTTTGAACGTGATCAAATTTTCATTTTTGTTCTACAAGAAGCAAGCAGATGTTCCCCATGTAGATTCAGAAGCCTCATTGTGAGGAAAACAAAAATAGACTCACTGCCTTCCCAACAAGCATGTCATAAGAGCAGACTAATTGGGGGCTTCCTACGAAATCGGAGTGCATCTGCCTGAGAAGCAAGGAACCAACAGTCTGCATACAGTTAAGTAAGATCTGATAAACAGATGTGCATGCAACACTCAGGTTCTGGAACAAGACTAAAATCCAGAGGTGGACAAACAACCAGAACTTTCTGCCAGAGTTTACACCCTGTGAACGTGAAGAAGATGATGATTTTGAATGTGTTGCCAGAAGATGCAGATATCACAGCCTAATTGTAAACCACAACACAAAGTGCCAATCATCTTTTTATGGATGAATACAGAAAAAGAGGGAAAAAAGAATGATAGATCTGTTTGTCTGATTTATTTTTAAAAGATGTATTTGATAATACAGAGCTATTTCTGTGCATACAAATATGACAATAAATGTATTCTGAATGGGATATGTTGGCTTCTTCTTCTTGCACACTCAACCTTAAAAGAGGGAGCTCAGACACTGTCTTGTGGTTTAAAGCTAGGCTGTAATATCTGTGCTTTTTGGCCAAACTCATCAGATTTCAGAAAGTTCATAGTTAAAACAGAAAGTAGATGAAAGACCCTTTTCCACGCCATTAGATGCATTTGGCATAAAGAGCTACACCCGTATTTTATAGACCAATTGGCACTCAGTCGGTGATGTCATCAACATTACGTCAGTCACCTTTACTTCCCAGGATTTTACCTGACACCGATTTTAGGCTGGGGCAACGTGGGAGCCAAAATAATTTTAAAAATCTGACTTGGTGGGGATTTGAACCTACAACCTTCAAGCTTGAGACAAGTGACTAGGCACTATACCATGGTGGCTCCCAAGTTCCTAATCTGTCACCTTTTATTACATGCTTGTTAAGGGACAGCCAGCACATTCTTCCTTCCCTCAAATGGGACCCAAAAAGTATTTGCATTAATATAAAAAGAAACTTCAGGATCCAAAACTCTCATAAACATATATAATACAGTCCTTCTCATAATAAATGAAGAAAAAGAAAGAAGACATTTCTGAAACAAAAACTATAAATACTGAAGGAATTAAATGTGTCACTATGGTTGGATAGTTTGCCGCCAGTTTTTTAGAGCTCTTCTGGCAAGATCTTCTGGAATGAGGGGGAAGTGATTTTTGACTGTTTGTATAATGCCCTCATCTCCACCTGGAATTACTTCTGAAACCAGTTCTCCTGCAGAAATAAAAGCACACACAAAAAAGTGAAGTAAATAAATAATGATTCTTGGCATTCTTTTCTATACAATTACAAAGACAATTTAGTACCAATTTATAGAGGTTGGGTGGGCAGCAGAGTCATACTGCTAAAAATTAATCCTACGACTGCTAGAGATTGGGAGCCACCGTGGTGTAACGGCTAGATGCTCACTTGTGGATCTGAAGGTTGTTTGTTTAAATCCAAACAGAGCCAGACATTTTTCAAAAATTACCTTGGCTGTCAGGTCAACACCGCCTTAAATGGGTGCCAGGTAATGTCCTGCCAAGTAAAGCTGGCCAGCGTGTTGCTGACCCCGTTTTGGGGCCATGTTGACCACATCACTCACCAAGTACCGATTGGTCAATAAAATACAGCTCTAGCACTATATATCTAAATATGCTTGAAGGTGTGGAAAAAGGTCCTTTACTTTAGTGCTGGATACTAAACTCAGACCACTGCTTTGGTTAGTAAGTCCATTATGAGACTGTAATTCCAGTAACATATCATTAACCCTTTTACCCTGAGAAGTCAAAAACTGACACTTCCCTGTAAATGTCACTTTTCTTCCTTGCCTATAGTTAACCCTTCCGATGTTATGTACTCTGCCAGCCAATGTTACCACTGTGCTAAGCTAATTCCCTGATGAACCTTTCCCTGTGCTAAATACTTTTCTGTCCTCCAAATGCAAAAGATATGTTGGCGGTGCGGGCTCTACTTTGTACACCTTAAAATATTCACCCTAGGGAAGTAGGTGGTGATCCGAATGCTGGCAAATCAGATGCACTATGGTGACGCCATGAGCGTCTTTACAGAAAGAAATCACTAGAAACTTGACTCAGTTGCTCAGCTGTATTCGAGATAGTAAAAGAAAGTGTACCGCTGCTAAGTCTTCTATATCTTCGTCTCCACCGCTACTGTATATGTAGTAGAAACTCCACCAAGTAGCGAGCACAGCAGTAACCTTCTGATCTTTAGCAGGAACATTCTTTGATTTTGACTCCACAGTTGCCATGTTTTAATCATTGCCTTAAGTGCATCTGGAGCTCTTACCGACCCCTGACCTATTTCACCACCCTACAAACTTGATCAGCGAAGCAGCCACCCACTCTGCCTGAGAAAGCGGGGGTGAGGGGGCCACTAAGTGAAGAACTGGTCTAGGAGAATGCTAGCACTTCACCAAAGGCCGTGACTCAAAATTCCTCAAATGTGATCGATAAATCTACAGTGGCTCCACTTTAATCAGAAACAATTGTAGTCAACTTGTTATTGTTATTATTACTTTTTAAAATAATTAATACTTAGCTGATCGGTTGCCGAAAGTGCTAAAAGGTGAAATTTAAAATTTACACTTAAAAAAAAAAGAGGGGGGGGGGGGGGTGTTATGAAGAGAGGAGATGAATGCACAACCTGTGTACTGTAAGGCAAATGTGGTACCAACTACACCATAATTTTATATCCCAATGACAATAAGACAAGTATTGTACAGTGTTACAGACAGAGGCGTATAGTATAGAAAGAAATCAACTTAAATCCATCAAATCAGTATGTAACTATATTCTCTTGCTGATAATTAGGGATGCATTTCAAATCCAGTCGATGCTATTGGAAGGGTCAGATGGTCTTGCTAACGGCTAGAATTACACATGTCTGCCGGCGTGCCGTGAAGATAACCCAACTCATAACATACATTTCAAGTGATCCTTACTATCACTCCTTGAAAAAAAACTCAATTTTTATTATTCGTCAGCTTTAATTAACAAGTTTTCTTGCCATTTTGTATAAACAAGATGTAGACAAATAATGCAAAACAAGAATATATTTCAGGGTAAAAATTACACTGCTCACTAACCACGATTCTATGGTTAAAAAAAAAAAAAAAACAGCAACAAAACAATGCAGAATGCATCAAAATATATCTAAAGGCATGTGATCAGCAGAAGGTCTTAGATTCACGCGCCTGAGTTTTTTCAAAAATGGCTATGGCTCCCAGGTTGTCCCAGCCTTGAGTGGGTACCGGGTGCAGTCCCGGGAAGTAAACGCGACCGGCGTAATGCTGACCACATGATCTACCTTGTGCCGATTGGTCTATAAAATATAGGTCTAGCCCTGTATGCCTAAAGGCGTGGAAAAAGGTCCTTCACTTACTTTACTTCATTATTGGAGTTGTCAGCTATTTCAAAACCACTGCAGCAGAGCTAAATTATGTCAGTTTCTGAGATATCATGCTTTTATGAGTCAAGGAAAAGGAATAGCTCTGCCCTTCACCATGAGATACACAAAGTCAGAAGCAAATGATTAAAAGAACAATTCTCACCACTGTTGTTCTCAATCAGTGTTTTCCCATTGATCACCATGATAGCTCTCCTGTTAGGGAAACAGATAACTCTGAAGGTGGCATGGAAGGGACTTGCTTGAGCATCGGTGAACACCTGGCATGTAATAGAGCAAAATTAAGTGAATCTTCTTCCTCTTTCTAACATTCACCAGCTGTAAAACCCCAGTGGAAAGTTCTGGTTGTTTGTTCATTTCTTGACTTTAGTCTTGTTCCAGAATTGAAATGTGCGTGCACATCTGCTGTACAAATCTGGCATATTTGTGTGCAGACTGTTGGTTTCTTACCTTTCAGGCAGATTCACCCCATCTTCGAAAGAAATTCATTTAATACAGTGTAAGATGAATGTAATATTGTGTAAGATTTTTTTAATGTAGTGTAAGTAGGTTTAATGTAGTATAAGACAAATTTAATTAATATAGTGTAAGACAAATTTAATATAGTTTAAGATGGATTCAATATTGCATAGTAGGGATTTAATTTCCTGTAATATCAATTTCACGTGGTAGGAAGATGATTTTAATATAGTGTAAGATGGATTTATCATAGTGATTATACCAATTAATTATATCATACAATACTTTTGTCAGGATTACTCTGTACTGTTAAGTGAAACAATAGCTTCTATGAGAATCTACAAGTCATTTTGCAAAGATGATTATAGATAATATTTAAAAGTAAGTAAATTAAAAGACCCTTTCCATGATTTCAGGTGTATTGAGCATATAAGGCTAGACCTGTGTTTTTTAGACCAATCAACAATCAGTGGATGATGTGGTCAACAACATGCCAGCCACCTTTACTTCCCAGGACTTTACCTGGTGCCCCACTTTACTTTCCCAGGACAGCCCATCCTGGTACCCATTTTAGGCTGGGTCGACCTGCGACGTCCCATACCACGACAAAAATCCATGCAGCCTGCAGTGGGTTTCGATCGCGGTATGCTGGCTTACGAGTCGGACTCACAACGCCTTAGCCACGGACGGCGTAATGCTGACCACATTACCCACAGAGTGCTGATGGTCTGTAAAAATATGGGACGCTCTGTCCATATGCCCGATGCACCGAAAGGCGTGAAAAGGGAACTTTACTTTACTTTACTTACTTAAGGCTGGGTAAACCTGGCAGCCACAGTCATTTTTGAAAAAAGTCTGGCTCTGTCAGGACTTGAACCTATGACTTTCAGACCCACAGGCGAGTGTCTAGCTGCTACACCACGGCGGCTCCCCAATATAGTATTAACTATATTATAAAATGGAACACACAACATTAGAGAAACTCTACAAAAGTATGATGCGCCCATGGTTTGAGTTGCCAGAACAGCAAAAAGCAGAACCTTATATCTCCTGCGACATCCAAAGCCAAATAAAAAAAAAAAAAAGGAAGTGAAAAAGAAGTAGAAGAAGAAGAAGATCAATAAGGCAGAACATTGCTTTCTTCACTGCACACCTGAAAGTCGCTCATTCTCTAGCCCAGTGTTTCCCAGACTTTTCTTGGTCGCTGCACCTTTTTTAAATTAAAATTTTTCCACGGTGCCCTAACCTAAGTAAAAGTATAACTTTTCATATGTAAGAGATCAATTTTAAAAATTTAAAAAACTTGTATCTTCAAAAATTTTGTGGTGCCCCTGTGAAGTGGCTGTGGTTCCCTGGGGCGCCGCGGCACACAGTTTGAGAATCACTGCTCTAGCCAATTCTCCATGTGCTTTGATAGCCAGTGCATCTTTAATGTTCTGTATCCAACTTTATGGAGGTCGGCTTCTGCCTTGTCTTCCAGAAATTATCCCCTCCATCACCGTTCTCTCCAGATGGTCCTTCTTCTTCTTCTTGTGTTTGCTTTCTGATTTACACCGACAGACAGGTTCTTGTGATAAACTTGACTGTTTTTATGAGTTCCTTTTTAGTCCCATACAACTTTGCATGCAGTTGTGCCAGTATTCCCTAGATGGTGCTTAAAAAAAGAGGAACCTATATGATAATGTGTCTCGTTGATTTTAATAACAGTGTTAAAGTACCTTCTCAAATGGTGGATAAAACTCCTCTACATTGTTGGTACCCTCAGGATCAGCTGAATAGAATCGTCTCCAGCCATCGATAACAAAGTTGAGACCATCCACTGAACTCGGTTCCTGACTTTTCACAAGATCTCCTTTCCTGTGCATGCGGAGAATCCTGCCTTGATGTTTGATGTATTTATATTCAATGAAAGAGTCGGTGAATGCAGGTGACTCATGTTCAAAGTCAAGACTAATAGCCCTAAATGTTGGGAAGCCAAAGCCGACTTCAATAAGAAACTTATCCCCATTTTTTTCAACGTCTTCGACATATACAACAACGTGGTTGTTGGGGAAGAGAACAGACGAGGTGCAGGTAGCGTGGACAATGGTTGCTTTGAAACCAGCAGCTTTCAACAGAAAATATGTTGCAATATTCAAATTAAAACACAGTCCGCCGATGCCAGACAAGAGGTCAGCTTTGATCTCATCCAGGGAAGGTCTGCGTCTGAAACAAGTAATAAAATACTTCAGTTTAGAAAACACGGAGTTGCAGTGGTTAATGAGGAGTGGTTGGCTGAATGGTCAGGAGAGCAGTTTTGAGTGTGTCCTTTTAGGTTTTTTTTTAATGCTCTCTTTATGCTCTCTTATGTCAGAGACACAGGTTCAAAGTCCTGGTATGGTTACACATTTGGGAAAGGGGGGGGGGGGGGGGCAAAAATAAAATTATAACCTGCGCATCTTGGTAAAGTCTCCACAGCTTACAGGACAAACCCATATTAGCACTGCCTTCCTCCTTAACAGCCAGCAAAGAGTCTCCGTACTAATGGTACCTGTTTTCCCCTGGTTAACTACTCATCTTGCCTTTCTCTCTTCTCATAACCTGCACAGTTCACGACCAATGTATTAACCATGCTGCCCTCAATGCTCAGGATTAGAACCCCTGACTACATCACAAAAGTGGTAAATAAGACAGTAATGAGTTTTCTGGGTATGGTTAGTGTACTTGCCTACTAAGGCACTGGTCTGGGTTCAATCCCCAGGAGTGTAATGCACTGCTGTCACGTGCGGATGTGCACTTGAATCGCACCACCTGCTGTGGTGCACCTTTAGTCCGATGTCAAAAACAATACCTAAGGTCGTGAAGGACCAATCAAAGGCATTCAATGTTTACACTCGGAATTATTGATCATTACTACTTTGGTTAAAAAGAGGATAGCTCTACCCTGGAATGGACGAACAACCCTCAGCAGAATGCTTGTATAGTTTAGCCTTCCTGAAATTAACACACTTGTCATTTTCCTTCTTTTTCTTCCCATTATCCTCCATTGCAGCAAAGACTGTCTTATTTTCTGCCATCTCTTTCAAGTCCTTCCATCTATCTCCATTTTTTTCATCTCCCCTTCAAATTCTGTTCTACAGTGTTTTATCTTCTTCCTATCTTCCTTTGTTTTGTTTGCAGTGTGGGTTCCTGAGAATTGGTATTCTAGTTATACTAATAATCTTCTATCCAGCTTCATTGTCATCCTCTGTTACATTTGTTTTTTCACATCTTCCTGGACAATGGTCAGGCCAGTGCTTGAAACATTTATACGGGGGAGCTCAAAATGAAAACGTTAAAAGTGTGACAGAAATTAACATAACCATGCCACTGACTTGTAACCTGTAAATATTGTAATTAAGGATGTCATGAGTGTTAAGCACATGACATCACAGTGTAGATGAACATGCTGACATCATATAGATAGTTTGAAGATGGCCACAACCCATAAGACATGCACCAAAGATCAGCAGCATTCTGTTTCCCGTGCACACTAGGAAAAAGTAGAAGAGAAATATAAAAGGAGGTATAAGTTGTGTTATCTTCACAGTGCTCTGGACAAATCAATAGGTGCTCACACCCCCTCCCCCATTCTCAACATTTTCATGGCGTAGGTCCTTTTTATCAGCCAATTTCTTAAATGTGTCAGTGAGCCTCTGTGTGAAAACACTAAATCCAATCCCGAACAAATGTGTTTGAGCTGTGACCCAACATAAATAATGTCTTAAAATGTGTGTATTGAGCAGTAAAGAAAACATAAACAATATTAAAGTGAGCACGTTTCAGGTACATGTTATTCAGTCTGCAGGGATAGAGGTCCCAGGGAGGGCAGAAAAAAACTTCGGACGAACTAAAAGGACCTAATCAAAACTGCTCTTGGTATTTGGCCGAATAGCAACATGGTCAGGACGAATACGAATAGTGGTTACTTTACACCCATGGTTCTGGACTAGGGGCAAAAAAGGTATCACAGATTTCCCCACCAGAGTTCATACTGTCAAATGTTATCTTTAATGCACCACCTGCTGAGCGTACCTTTTGTCTGCACTGCTCAAGTACAGCTGGTTATACCTTCAGTGAGACAAGAAGCTGCCTTAATGATAACATAACATGGAAGGATTTCTTTTTTTTAAAAGCTAATGTCGCTTTCATGGATTAACTAAGCTGTCAGTGACAATTTACTAGTTTAGCCTACTTGTTATAAAACTAGGAATACTTTCATTCCTATGTATTAGTTACCACAGACTGACTGACAAAGGTCCTTGCAAAAGCCATGAAATATTTTTTTAAATGTTTATTATTCTGTACTACATTTTGTAATTTTAAAATTTCAGAGTACATTGACATTATGGATGTTTTTAAAAAAAATCATCCTTTTTATACACGAAAGTGGAGGAATGGGAAATCAGCTTTTGAATAGTGGAAAGACAGAAGTAATGGTGGTATCCTATCCAGCTTATTATTCCTAAATGTGTAATAAAAGTCAATGCTGTTATTATGGGACAAGGCCATAACAATCTGGGCTCAAGGGTAACATCAGATTGAGATGTTTATAACTGAGATAAGAAACAGACTAGGACAGGCACAAACTGCATTTTATAAAAATTGAAATAAACATTTCATGCAATATATCTGTGTCATTGAAAGTTAGCACATGAAAATAATTCTTGCTTGCTTCATACATCCAGTTTTATGAATATGGCTGTAACCCCTAAGACAATGCGGTAGGCAGGCCAAACAATTTCTTGAAGCCTGCACAGAGATGTGGTTTTACAGAACATATGCTTAAAATACCTTGGACACACCACACAAAAAGCAACAAGAGGTTTTGATAGAGGCGGGATCCCGAAGACAACTTATCACAGACATCAGAAGGAGAAAGTCATTCATTTTTCGGCCATGTTATGAGAAGTGGAAAAATAAACATGTGGTGACCCCTGGAAAGATATGTGGAAGGAAGGATAGAGGAAGACAACAAGAGAAGAATCTTGACAGTACTTGTTGCATGGCATGGAGGTGTGTCAGCACACAAACTTATACATTCTGCAGGAAATCGTTTGAAGATTGTAGCGAGGCATAATCGCTTTCTACCAGTCGGCAAAGCACCTGATCATGATGATTCCTATTCGTATTTGGGCCGAAAAATTTCACAGCTTCTATTCGTACATCGGCCAAAGAATGAAAATCACTATTCGGTGCTCGTCCTAGTGAAAAACATAAATAATGTTTAAACCAGATGTGTGAGCATGTGTGAAAACATAAATAATGTTAAAACGTGTGTGAGCATGTGTGAAAACATAAATAATGTTAAAACGTGTGTGAGCATGTGTGAAAACATAAATAATTTAAACAAAGATAAGATAAATACTGCTCACCTTTTTTCTGGAACTTCTGACAGAAGTTTCAGATTCTGGAATGGCAAATGTGTTTGAATATTTGTAGCGATTTCATCAAGTAAACTTCTACGGTCAGTTTTCAACCTCTGTTCAACATTAGAAATGTCCAAGTTCTCCGTAAAAAATTTCACAGCTTCTTCTTTTGTAAACATCATAGTAGTGAGGTGTGGTCAAGGACAAACTGCTCGTCAGTAAAAGCTACCAAGAATTATGTTTATTCCAGATCTGTAAAATGCAACATATATGATTAGAAAGTAAAGATAGGTAAGTAAACTACAAGAAAAATATTATAGTTTTACACTAGGTGTATAAAGGGGAGTCACGTGGGGTAGCGGTTAAATGCTCACCTGTGAATCCAAAAGGTGTGGGTTCAAATCTGAATATTTATTTATTCAAATCTGAATAGAGCTGCACTTTCTTCCAAAATGACCTTGGCTCCCAGGTCGACCCAGCCTTGAGTGGGTACCAGATAAAGTCCTGGGAAGTAAAGGCAGCTGGTGTGATGCTGATCCAACCAAGTGCCGATATTAAAATATAGGTCTAGCCCTATATGCCTAGTATGCTTAGAGGTGAGAAAAGGGCCCTTTACTTTATTAAGTGGCCCAGATATACAGTTGATTAAATAGCATCAAATGAGATGGCTTGGCCATCTGATGAAAATTCCCTGGTATCAATTACACAGAGTCACACTGAAGAAATATAATTAAACAAATGAACAAAAAAAAGAAAACTCTTTATTTTCAAAGGGTTACAAATTTGGTACGTATGCCTGTCTTACATTCGGCCCTTCCAAACACTCATCTTTTAGACACAAGCACCACATCGTACTCAATCAATCATCACATACAAACATTTACACATCCTTATACATCTTTACATACGCATACAATCTCATACATACACGAGAACCTAATCCCACACAATCATCAATACATACAAAAGCCTCTGATCATATACAAACACCCATATAGTCACGGAAAAGGGGAAGTTTGCACAGAAGATAGAACGAAAGCATCAAGAACAACCTTCCAGAAATGAAGACCAACATATGGGAAAAACACACACAGAAGATGGAATGGAAGCATCAAGAACAACCTTCAAGAAATGAAGACCAACATATGGGAAAAAACACACAGAAGATGGAATGGAAGCATCAAGAACAACCTTCAAGAAATGAAGACCAACATATGGGAAAAAAAACACAGAAGATGGAATGGAAGCATCAAGAACAACCTTCAAGAAATGAAGACCAACCTATAGAACACATGGGGAAAAAAAACACAGAAGATCCTCAAATCCCCCCTCAACATTTCGATGAAGTAAACAGAAAAAGTGAAGAAGAAGAAGAATTATAACTGGTCGTGGCGCGGTGAGTTATGTCACAGGCGTGAGGGGAAGTTAAATCCAACATGATGTGTATAAGGAGATACTCCGTACGTCACTCGGGCGCCAGTCCTTCACTATCCTGGTTGTACGGAACCTCACGCAAGACCCCTACAGCACGTCCTCGTCGTGCGCCACGGATAATGTCTCAAATGAGCATTAACAGAGCTGTCAGGGGATCTCGGAGTTTGGCGGCCCCCAGAGGTGATGTGTCCTTGTGGCTCTCATCAGCCCGCCCCCAAACGCTTGGGTGAAAAATGTTATCAAAACTCATTAGGAACATGAGTAGGGTTGACAAACATACAGCTAAAATTACAACCCTTGGTTAAAAGACTGCTGAGTAAAGAGATCATTGCTCACTGCACATCCTCTGTTAATTCTCAGTGTCGTCGTCACCGCGCTGAGGTACAACCACAACAGCAACCATCCATAGGCTGGCCATCCTTGTACATCCTTGGTTGGCCCTCAGTGTCGTCGTCACCGCGCTGAGGTGCACCACAACAACAACCATCCATAGGCTGGCCATTCACGTACATCCTCGGTTAACCCTCAGCGTCGTCGTCACCGAGCTGGGGTACACCACAACAGCAACCATCCATCGGATGGCTAAGCCTAAATGTCCGACAAAACTAGATCATACGGATCAAAATCTGACCATCAAAATTTGCACTGAACTGAAAAAGACCGAATATCCACACCCAAAGACCCCACTCGCCCGAGTGTTGGGACAAAACTGATAACGATACGCCTGATTCAGGATGTGAAATTCTGTCAGGCTAATGTACCTATCTGTGTGGTCACAAAAGTCCAAAACCCACGGGCTGCTCCCCGCTGACTTCCAGAGGGCGCAGCCCCTGTCGAGTGGGAGGCCTGATACGGTTGTGAGGTTAAGCAGGCATGTGCAGGACGTGACGATTCCTTGGGTGAGCCCAGAATCAGAGCAATATGTGCCGGCTCTGCATGCATGGAAGCCTCCTTGGATGGCGGGGAATGCTCATGATCTGCCCCTGCCTTCCCTTGAGGGCCAACTGTTCCACAGGGGGCTGCCCCAAAGGAGTACTCTGGGGGCAATACCTGCGGCGAAGGAGACAAAATGGACACCACACAAATTAGGCAACGTCTCGACCCACACAAAACAATGGCCACAGTCACCCTAGAAATAGGCCTGACGTCTTCCTTCGAAGTCGGCGTACAGCTGCCCAAGAGGCAAGGAAATTAAAAACGGTTGTACACGCAAAAATCAGGTCCAGGTGAAAGCCAAAAGTCCAAGCGGACGATTAACCGGGACCTTCCACTGGAATTCACAGCCGGTGTTCGATAATAATAATAATAATAACTGGTCATGGGCATACTGTTTTTATTTCAAGCATGACTATGAGAAGTGTCGTTGCCAGGCAGTAAAAAGAAAAGTATGCCATAAGTATTTGAGATAGTAAACTCTGTTTCAGTAAAGTAATTACCACCTTCATGACATGGAGTAACAATAATAATTGTTTGAGACACCTCTCCTTCTCTCTTTGTTTTTGCTCCTAAAAATGCAGATGGCACGTTGTGTTGTGATTCACAGCAAAGCTGCAATATGTGCACCTTTCAGCCCAACACATCTTTTTTCAGCAATTCAGCAAAACTATAGTCACCTATTACAGAGGACAGTGAGTATTCTTTTTTTCTCCAAAAATGAGGGCTGCGAACCCACACAGGTAGTTTACAACAGAAGATGTTGAAGTAACAAAAGGGAAACCATAGACATGAAAGAATTCAATGTAAAATGGCATAAGTTAAAATAATTAATGATGAATGTGCTGTACCAAAAAGGTAAAAGCGAGTTAGATTCTAAGTATTTGCAGGGCTGAAGTAATTGGCCTTATAATTGGACAAAACTGGGTTAAATAACTACGTGGGAGTGGAGGAATAATAATATATTAATAAGGAAAATAATTATTTAGAGACTGAAGTCCAGAATGGGTTAAATAATAACTGTTTGAGGTCTGAAGGAGCTCCAGTACTGGAGAGGAATGGGTTAAATAATAACTGTCTGAGGCCTGAAGGAGCTCCAGTACTGGACAGGAATGGGTTAAATAATAACTGTTTGATGTCTGAAGGAGCTCCAGTGCTGGACAGGAATGGGTTAAATAATAATTGTTTGAGGTCTGAAGGAGCTTCAGTACTGGACAGGAATAGGTTAAATAATAACTGTTTGAGGTCTGAAGGAGTTCCAGTGCTGGACAGGAATAGGTTAAATAATAACTGTTTGAGGTCTGAAGGAGCTCCAGTACTGGCCAGGAATAGGTTAAATAATAACTGTTTGAGGTCTGAAGGAGCTCCAGTACTGGTCAGGAATAGGTTAAATAATAACTGTTTGATGTCTGAAGGAGCTCCAGTACTGGACAGGAATGGGTTAAATAATAACTGTTTGAGGTCTGAAGGAGCTGCAGTACTGGACAGGAATAGGTTAAATAATAACTGTTTGAGGTCTGAAGGAGCTCCAGTACTGGACAGGAATAGGTTAAATAATAACTGTTTGAGGTCTGAAGGAGCTCCAGTACTGGACAGGAATAGGTAAAGTAATAACTGTTTAGAGAATGAAAGAGCAGCAATACTAAGTCAAATGAGTTAAATAATAGCTGTCTGGAAAGCAAAGGAGCTTAAGTACTGGCTCAGAATAGGTTAAATAATAGCTGTCTGGAAAGCAAAGGAGCTTAAGTACTGGCTTAGAATAGGTCAAGTAATAACTGTCTGAGGTCTGAAAGAGCTGCAGTACTATTTCAGAATGGGTTTAAAAAAAAAAAAAAACTTTAGAATCCACTAATCTCAGTTTGTCCTTAAATACACCTAATATAATACAAATATTAGATGCCTAAATTTCACACCACCAGCATAACTGCACTGTCGGTCATCTAAAATATGCCCTCTGTTAGTAATTTACTGGTGTAGTAGTAGTAGTAGCAGCAGCAGCAGCAATAGCAGAAGCAGTAGTCACAGTCATCATCATAAACCACTTCTACCATTAACTCTTTGAGTCCCAAAGAACGCATCGTACGTTCATAGGTTCCTACCTAGAAGCCCAATGAACGCATGATGCGCCGGTTGTATTACTTTCTTTACTACCCCCCTGGGCCTGTGATGCTAAACCCCCTGGGACTCAAAGAGTTAAGCATCTGAGTTTTAAGAGTACAGTTTTGCTATTCCTACCAGGGCACACAGGCATGCAAGGAATTGAGCAAGCTGGTTGGCTTGCAGGTAAAGCTACTGTGGAGGGTGGACGAGCCAGAGACCAGATATTCTCAATGTTCTAGAGGAGAAGTAAGACTTTTACAAGAAGCAAGTGATGACTGTGAATCTGCAACCATGAGGGGACTGCAGGAACAAAATATTAAAAGGGGTGTGGCCAGACAAGAGCATATGCAGGAAGCCAAAGAGAAATAAGAAACCAATACAGAACTGGTGTCGTCAGCTGCTACACCCTGCAGGATTTGCTCATTTACCCTTCTACTGTTTGTTTACGGTGATCATAAAGGACACAACCATCATTTGTGTACACAGTCACATGATGATGTTCTGTAATATTTAATATTGCTTCAGGTCAGGGTTAATCCGAACTCTAATCTTAACAAAAAAATTAAATATAAAAGAGTGTTACTATTTTGTGAACTTACACAAAGAAGGGATTACATCACTTATGGTCAGTTAAAGTAATGTAAAGTTACAATAAATTGCTCCCTGTGTGGGCTTCTGGGGCCACATGAGACGCAAAGAACCAACAGTCTGCGTG